GGGCCGGCGATCCCAAAAGCACCAGACACTGCGGGTAGCGCAATGCATCAAAGTGGGCCCCGTTCAGCACCTGGCTTCAACTGTCGAGGTTTGACTGGACAAAGAGCTGAGGTATGTTTCCAAGGGCATAATTCTGACAGGATTTTATTTTTTACTCTTTACTGCAGTATGTTCTGGATTTGATAGTTGGACATAATTTCGGACGTGTAACTCTAAATTTATATTGAAGCCACCTTCAAGATTTTTTATGCGCTTTATGCATTTATGCAGTGCAAAAACGCATGTTTTCGAGGAGTTGTGTGTCTCTGTGTACGTGTGTGTTTGTGTGTGCGTCTGTACCGAGTTTTCATCTTGAAATCCACAAAAATTACAAGGCTGAAACTCTGGTATTTTACACATATGTGCGGACCCTCATCCTCAAAATGGAGGCGCACTTCCGCGTGGTTCTCACGTACGGGCACGTGAAAGTTTTCTTGGCGAGAAAGCGTTTTCGGGAACGACGCAAACTAGGAGACTGAAACTTCACTGGGTTGTTCTTTGGCCACGTCTAATCCAAAGATTTTAAATTCAGTTTTCACGCACCTCTAAATCTCACATAAGCACACGTCAGAGTTTAAACTGGCATCATGCCAATTCCATATTTAAGCCGAACAAGAATATGTAGACGGAGCTGCAGTTTTGCAGCGTTACTTGTAGTCTACTGTTGTGTCCGTGAAAATAATTTGCTTACGTGATCACGATGATACACTGGAAGCATTTTTTGTTCCATTGCTCTCTCCATCACAAAAATCCCATCTTCTGCTTTCGCCAGTAACTGCATTTTACACTCACACATCATTATCTTCAAAGGGTGATATTGAAGAGGTGGCAGTGTCCTTTTTCTTCAACACTTTAACGAGGGTACTTCGAGCATTAGGCATCTTTCAGGGCATTCTTCAGTTGCAAAGTGTGGTACGAACTTCTCGGCCAGGACACGCGTAATACTCAATTTTTTTCAGTTTTGTACCACCTATCCTCAGTCAGACTGTAGGCATACGACATGTGGTACTTCACATCGTTTCCGACACTTTCAGGCTTTTTCCCTTATTTTGTGTGTTGAATTTTTTAGAGGGAAATAGTGTTACTCATTCGGGAAATTGTGCCCATATGTTCATTCTGGGACAGAACAAAAAGTAAAATTTTGCTCTATTCACCGCCGATGTGTCTTTTAGAAACATGGCAGCTGTTGTCAAGCGTTGGAACCATCTTCCACTATTGCAAAGCCCAATCAGTTCATTGGTTTTTTTTTTCAGATATTCAAATTTTTGCACTTTAATGGTGATCCAGTTGTTGGTGCGAGCGTCGATGCTATTCGAGCTGGAATCCCGCGGAACGTTTTCAATGCTTATACATTTGCGGATGACATTGAAAATTTGGCCTCAGAGGGTCTCATTTATGCCACTTCTGATGATGAGCATTTCGCGATAAATGAATAGTTCGCATTGTATCGGAATCTTGATTGCTTTTAAGTCAGGTTTTTATCGTTGCTTCCAGTGTTCTTCAAAAAGCACTCTCAGAAGTTTTTTTTTTTTGCATACAGAGCTTGTTCTTGATTGAAATAGCCGTTTTTGCGGAATCTTTTCATGGCAACTTTTAAATTCTCGTGAAATATTGTGGTGTGGAGCTAGCCACCAACAGATCATCACCTCTTCTCATGTACTTTTTGTAACAGATTTTTTTTTGTTATCATTTTTTTCTGCTGCATTTTATATTTCGATGTGTGATAAACTGAAAGCATTTTTGCGAAATTTCATCCAGCATATAGTCAGTCTTTTGGGCTCCAATGAATATGAAGACAAAGAACAACTGAATTTTGAGCTGCTTCCATACTCATGCAGCGTGCGTGCAACAGATTAGGCGAATGGCGAATATATGAACT